TATTGAACCCTTTTGAAATCCTTCAATTTATTTATATCCCCTTCAACAAACGTACACAACAAAATATTATATAATAAGATAAATTACTACTAATACTACTACTACTTCTACTACTAAACTTCTTACAATCTTCTATAAATATGCTACATTGGAGACTAGATTAACATTGGAACGAACAATGCTGTTTTTACACCCATGGAAAATTCTTAAGTTTTGATAAATTATAAATTTTCTAAGTTTTTCAACTTTGAATGAAAAATATATCGTACCCTCACCAACAATTAAACTAGTGTATATCGACATGGTTTGATCGTCATAATACAACCGTTTCAATTTTATCAAAACTCTAGAAGCTCTTAATATATAGTATCCAAATCTATGTCCCATGCATTTTTCAGTTAATTAACCAAGATCAGTTTCTTTTGCATATCACAACTATCGTAGGTATTTGTGATAAAAAATAACATAAACTATTTTTACGATAAATTTTGTGAGCAAATTTAAACCTATTTTAATTTTCTTTTTGAAAAATACATCATTTCTGAAAATTTTACATGATATTTCTTAAGTGTTTTACACATTAATAATTTAATTTTCACTACTAGCTGATATTACCTATTATGTCAATATTTTTTTATCAACCTATTCAAAATCATAAAGTAGATATAAATAATTTACTGAATAAACAAAACATAATTATTACAATAAATTTCATAAGTAAACTGTTTTCACCCAATATATATATTATAATTTCGATAATTCTATTATAATATTGATCACATAATATCGTGTCCGTCAATGTGGTTAGCATTAATCGAGTAGATGATGTGAGTGATACATAATGCAATTATAATTTACGATAAACAAAGTTACGGTAATAAAAAGTAATCGCATTACTTAATAGTAATATAATATTATAATAATATTATTATCATACCATTTATTTGTCATATTATCTCAAAATACTATAATATAAATTATTGCTGCGGTAGACAGGATTGTAATGCAGAAAAATATATACATAAATGCAGATGAGTTCTGTCTTTCTGGTTTTTAAATTTCTATTGTTTTTTCTCATGAAGTATTATTATTATTATGTTTTTTTTTTTAAATCAAAAACAGTTTTTAAAATGACAAAAATTAAATAAATATAAATAATCTTGTCATTTAAATTCAGTATGTAAATTAAAAATATACCTATACAAATGTGTATATATTTTTTCAGAGCTTTAAATGCCATCAGGTTTATTATTGTAAATTTTATACTTATAATTAAACTAATTAAAATCTATTATGTTTACATGTCTAATTGTGATATTTAATAATATATCATTATGCATACGTCTAACTAGTGTTGTACGCCATGTACGTGATAACAATAATAGGTAATACTTTTATGTAGGTATCTACTAATTTAAAAATATCATATTATGATCTTGAAGTATAACTGTGTAATTTTTGATGTTTAACTTGTTAATAATGAAATTATTTTGAAGGTAAATAGGAATAAAATTAGAGATATAAATAATATTTATTTATTGTATACATGTCTATTTTACCCAGACCTTTAAGCTTATATAAAATTAAGAAAACATGGTGGTCAACTCTGTAGAATATGCGCATATAGGAGCAATTTTTTTCGTTTTTAAGGAGTGGAATTGGGTTCAATAAAATATCTCAAGTATTGAAATCATATTGTTCTTAATTTATGTTGTTTATAAATCATTCATATGTTAAAATAACACTTTTCGTTAGCGTATTTGTAATATTTTGCATTTTTAGTGGGACATTATGAACTAGGTTAATATTTTTTTATAAACTTTAATAAAATAACAATTCATGATATTATATATTATTGCATTGCTTACTTTAAATAATTTTTCAGCATCTATAATCAAATACATTTTATGGAAAGCCCTATGAAATATATATATATATATATATATATATATATATATTTAAAAAAAGGTATAAATAATACAGCCATATAAGTACTAAAATTAATAAATATTATATACAAATATTATGTTTAAACTTGTGTTATATTATTATATTACCTGATCTAAGGGAAATGGGATATAAACAAATATTTAAAAAAAAAAATAGTTAAATAAAATGTAGATTAATTACCAAATTTTTTTTAATGATTTGTTTTTTAATACTGCTAATAAAGTAATTTATTTTATTATTAATATTACAGTAGGTTCATTTAAATTTTTTGAAAACATTGCATTTATAATATTATTAATATTTAATTATTATCATAGTAATAAATATAATATTATTGTATTCAACTTTTTAGTTAATATAATTTTTGGATTTATGAAATTTCAGCTTATAAAGTCACCTTAGTTGTAATTTTATTATTATGTTCAATTACTTTAATTTGTTTGGAGTTTGATCGTGAAATTTCATCTTAAGTCAAGTCCAATTAATATTTATGACGTTGTCTTGGAAATCTTAACGTGTTGTCAAGTTGATGTTTAAACAGCGAAAACATCCAATTTGTTATTTTCAGTGGAAAATTATTTTTTCTCATGGATGAGGTATGATAGTAAAATATTTTTAAAAACAACAGCTTTATTAAAAACTACATTTATACTTTACAGTTATGTTTGGTAATCTAAGTACTTATTTCCATAATCTTTTTAAATGATTTTTTTTTTGACATTTTTTTAATTTGATGACAAATTTAAGATCATTGCAGATACTCAAGATGACTTATTTTGCTGTTATTGATAATAGAATAAAATAATTGATTTAATGTCAAAAACATTTTAACAGGTTTTATACCCAAATTATATTTGCTGAAAAATTAAAAAAAAATCAATAACGCATGTAATCAGATTTCCATCTAATTCTCGAAATAATATTATCGTATAATATTGTAATTGTATTAAAATTCACACTGTTTTTGGTCTTTAAAATGACTTAAAAGCAATACATTTTTTATAACACATACTATATTTACGTACTTTTCAAATTCAAATTAATACATTAAAATGGTATGATTAAATTATGATCTTATAAAGAATTTTTAATTTGAATAAAAGAAATAAAAACCTAACAAATATATGTTTGTATAATTTAAATTTAATTTAGTTTTAAAATATATTGTTATGAATTATATAAATAATAAAAATATTTCTTGAGTTTTTAAGGTGATTATTACTTAGTTAAACAATATATCGGATTTTTGGTATTCACTTTATCATGATTTATACATTAAAGAGAATATTCTATCGTATCTCGTTTTTTTTTTTTAAATATTTAAAAAGTATTGTATGATGTTTTTTTAATTGCATAAACGGTCTTTTACATCTAAATATATTTTAACAGTAGGTATTGAAATAATTATACATTCTTATATAATTATCATTTCATTAATTTAATAAACGGTATGAACGTTAATAAAAAAAATTATTTTTACATATAACTGTTTATTTCTTTGTTATTGTTATATTTTACTAGTTAATTTTCATTATTATTATTATAAATTGCTATTGCCTATTACTGTTTTAAGGTAGCACTATTTATATTTTATTAAAATAACTATTGTACTTCTTATTCATGATAATGGTTATTTTAGATAAAAATATATCCCTTTCTTAATAAAATTAAACATTTTGCTTAATGATAGGTAACGTAAAATTAACCAAGTTATTAGTTTTATTAGATTAATTATTATGAAAAATAGTACCACAACATAAAGTGCCCAATATTATAAAATACAATTTTTTAATAAGACTTATATAATACGACCAAAGTTTAATGTGAAAAATATTTTATTTTAAATATTTGATTAAATAAAACATAAATAATTAAATTTATATAAAAAATATTTTTAAAGCATGTTTCCTATTTGGGTTTACATTTAACTCGTTTATCTATATCTGTATTTATATAAAAATATTTAATGTATTTTTCCAAGTCCATACCTTATATGCAAAATTAAATACATTTAAATAAGGATAACCATTCTTATAAAAATAGAGGAATAAACTAACAATGATGACATTTGATTTTTGTATTCAGCCATTATGATATCGGGTGGGTAATAGAAACGTTTTCCGGATAAAAAACATAACGAAAACGTCTACATGTTGTTGCACTTGTACCACAGTCAATCAAAAATTTGTTTAAAAGAGCAAAGACGTCTCTGGTGATGTAAGAAAATATTTTCCTTCCCGAAACGCTTCACAATGTCAATCTTTCAATATTTTAATACGCACGATATTCTTAAATCTGATGTATAAAGCGTGGAATAAAACTACTGTGAATGGACAAATCGATCGTTTTCGACGATAACATCAAATTAATGCGGGTTGATACCAGGGTTATCTACATTTTATTATCAAATATAGTCATTGAACAGTAAAAGAAATATTTTTTTTCTTAACTTTACTCTCTAGTTACAATGTATATTGTTACAACTTCGTTTCTTTTTTAAATTTATATGAAAAATAATCAGGTTTTTTTAAATTTATTCTATTTCAAATGATTTTATGATACAAATAAACTAATATTAATATTTCTTTGTTTATTAGTTGACACAAACGTATAACTGACTAAACCCAATATTATTACATATTATTTGTTATCCAAATAAAATTAAGTAGGTAATAGAATAAATTTTTAATGAAATATTTAATTTTTACATAAAATACCTAAATGCCACCTAATCACTATAATATGTGTAAGTATGACGATCAAAGGGGATAAAAAAAAAAAAATTAACTTTTAACTGATTAGAGTTATATATTATATGGACTTTACAGTTTTAGACACAAATAGGTATATTGTTTGTTAGAACTTTTAACTTTACGTCAATTTAATTTAACAATTCTAAATAATTGTTTTTATGAACCTATCAACCTTTGACAACTACAATGTCATTTATTATTACCATAATGTATCCTTATTCAATGTTATATAATACGTGTATAACGTATTATGATAATTATTTTTAATATTAGTAATGAAATGGTTTGTGTACTTACGTTGGGAGCTCGATCTTCGGATGATGTTTTCCAAGAACGTGTTTTGAGGGGCGACCAGACCTCGTCGGCCCCCTGGCATAATGGGTGCACCTTTGTTACCCAGGAGTAGGCTGTTAGCTATGTTTGCTCGAGTGTATCGTTTCGGCCATATTGGCAGACAAAATTAAACGCGCGCACGACGACGCGGACGATTAAGACAATGACGGTGACCACGGTATCGCTTTGTATTAGATTTTTACAATTTTCGCGTCGCGGTCTCGAGTGAAAACATATTATCACATCGATCGTATATTATAATATATAATATCTACAAAATTGTGTTTCGAAAACACGACGGCGTGAGCAGTTCGGAAAACAAGTTAGATTGGACGAGGGGTGAGAGGGCGCTATGACGAGTGATTGTTATCATACAAAAATATTATGTATGTATCGTACAGATGCCAGCTATGTCGTGATGTCGTTTGCGGTATGCTTTGTGGGCGTATGTCATGCGGGTATGTGTTTGAGTATATGGGTGGGTTTGGTAAGTGTGTGTATGTGTATGTGTGTGTACGGGTATGGGTATGTGTGTGTATGACTTGTGTAGTGTGTGTGTCTGGCAAGTGATCGTGTGTGTGTCCCCCGGGACCGCAGTTCAGTTATCGTCGTCAGCCGCAATCCAAGTGTTCGCGTTTGTGTTTCTTCATAATCGACGCCGGTCGTCAGTGCGGTCAGTGGCGGTGGTAGTGGCGACTGCTGCTGTGGTAGTAGTGGATCGCGCGTACATCGAAGAGCCCTCCACCCCCCCGTCGAGAGGTCGACTCGAACTATAATGGCGATGACTTCCTGTGCTTTTGAACAATGTGTTGCCCGAGCCGGTCGCGGTCGACAATCAAGCCGAAAACGGCTGTCGATAGCGACGGTGGAGACGACGATTGAGACGGTGATGATGGTTTCATCTGTGCCCGGCTACCTGGTCCGGTCGGATCGTCGTTAAACGACGGCAGTGGTGAACGATGTTGGCTGCTGTGGCAGTGAAGGAAGAATGGCAACCACAACGATGTTGATGACGGTTAGTGTCGTCAAGTTGCTCTCGAGAACCACAAATGTCGTTGACAATCGCAGCAAATACGGAGGACAGCATGGACTTGAAAGCGATCAGGAGCCTATTTGGGCAAGAGCACATTCACGAGTTCCTGGAAAAAAAACTTTCCGATTAGACTTCGATAATGATAAAAATTTTACAGATTGTATTTATAGATCGAAAATATATATTAAGTATATTTAGATATAGGACGAGATACGCTAAGTGAACCAAATAATTAGTATACATTTTTTGGAGATAAAAATGACATGTATTGAACTAAACCAGTATGTTTAATATAGTTATTTTTTTTTAAATTGTTTTCTGTATTTTATAGTTATTAGTTATTTGTTTAATATTTGTACACTATTTTATCATTTGATAAGTATCATATTATGTAGAGGTAGAAAAAATAGTCCAAACATATTATGTCATGTTTTGAAGCAAGTTCTTCGACTTTCTCATATATCTCACATTAAGTGTAACTATTTCAAGTTTGAACTAACAAAAAATATAAAATGCGTATTTTATAAAATTTGTTTATAAAGTAATAATGACTCAAAATTAACATAAAACAGTCACGTTATAATAAATGTATGAAAGCATTGTAAAACTATTTTTCATGTAGGTATTATGAAAATAGCATTGACAATTTTCAGATGACCTTTTTTTGTCGCAATATTATACATGCAATGCATATTTTTTTTACAATTTGGACGTCGATGAATAAAAGCTGTTTTTTACTATATATAATATATGGTTTACATGTATAGCCTTTATACGGTTTTCTGAATTCAAACAACACCCTTTTAATTTGTTTTTTTTAATTTCTGTGCGTTATACGCGGTTGCTCGTCAGTTGTAAAAATTCAAGGGGAGTTATACCCACCCCCTTTTAAATTACGACGTGCATGTTACGCCGTGCGAATACAATATACAAGGTTCATTTATTACTACATTGCACAAACTCGTATAGCATATAATATTATGTATTACACTGCATACAGTAGTGAAGCTAGAATTTTGAATTGAGAGAAGAGATAAGATAATTTGCAGTTAGCAAGCTATAAATAAAACTATTAATTATACTAGTTTTCTAAATATTCGGGGAAAAAAACAATACGATAAGTATTTAAATGATAAGTGTACTAAATTTATTAAATTTGTTAATTCCTAATCTTATATTTGCAACCATGTTTTATTTTATTTGGCATAGCTATCTATTTATTACAAGTATCAAATTAGTTTATGTAAGCTTGTATATTTTAAATACTGATCGATGTAGATATTGTATACTTACAGGTGAATTATCTAATTTAAAAATCGAGATAAGAAGAAAATGAAAAAAACATACTGTAAAAAAGTGCCAAAACCTAATAATTCATAATATTAATTTCCGATTTTACTTTAGTGCTGTTATTTATTTATTTTTTTTTTTTAAAGCGTCTAAGGTCAACAAGTTATTTATGAATTTAAAATTAATAAAAAAGAAAATATTTTTTAATTATTTAATAACTTAGTATTAATAATTATTATTAATATATAACAAGTATTTAGTAAAACGTTAAAAAAAACAAATAAAAATAATTTGAATATAGATACATAATAAATTAATAATAACATACCATATATATATATATATTATTATTTAATTTAATATACTTAAAATATATATTTTAAATATTAAAAGTGTTGTTATGTTTGTTTATTCATACCTTTGGAGTTAATATAAAATTGTTAGAATAAATGTATTTTGGCGTTTTTAACTGGTTTTGACAAAAATCATAAAAAACGTGTCTAAAAAATATTTTTCACCTACCAATGACGTAGATATATTTTGACAGAATTTTGTATTCCTTTTTAAAATGCATTTATTTTAAACTGGTAAATCAACTGTCTATCAAATACCTACCAATCCTACCAATCGCTCAAGAATAGGTTGAATCAAACAATTTTTTGGGTGTATTGTATCATTATTGCTATATCATACTACACAACAAGCCTCTATAAGATTTAACGCCAAATCACCAAGTGTTCGAATATTTATTTTACATTTAACTAAATCGAACGGAACAGACTTTACCCATAATACGAAATATGTATTTACTATCCAGCCCACTAGGTAGCGTTTATGAGTAGGGTCCACAACAAGCGCGAATAAGAAGAGTGTGTTTTACGCTGATAAAAGATATATAAATGCGTACACACATAATATCGTTGCGGTGCGTGAGTTCTATTCGATGCGAGAAAAACAATGTAGGTATAGGTATAATAATATGCGTGTACCGAGTCTATCCGCATTTTGCTGATAGTGGAAAACGTAATAGAATCTAACGCGTATCAATGACTGTTGAAGTTTTTGTTTGTAATATAATTTTTATCACACGACGGTGAACCAGCCTGCAGCTGCAGGATTTAAGCCATCGGTTTCTGTACCTCCCTCATTATTCATTGGTTTTAATATTTTGTACAGAAACCTTTCAGATATTTCATTTTTAATTTTACTCTTAAAACATAATATTCGATTAATTATTTTACATATTTAACAGATACGGATATCATATAAAAAAAAGTCTAACATTTTGCGAGCAAAGTGATCGATTTTAGTAACCTTATATTTGACATCGTAAGTTCGTTCGCATCCTATAGAATAATTTTAAGTGTATAAATATATAATTAATACCAGTTTATGGCGAAAATAGAAATGTCACACATGATACATATAGATATGTAAAATATTGGTTAACTTTTACTTATAAATTAAACTTATTGTTTTAAGTTTAAATCAAGTTTTACAATCAAACGATTTTACCTATATCCTTACAATCGACGATTAAACAGCTTATATTAATAAACTCGTTCGACTTAAAACTGTATACTTAAATACTGTTGATAATTAAATAAACCTTTTAAAAATAACACGTAACGATAAAACTGATATGCAGATATATATAACGTATCAAAAAAGCTTTGATTCTTTATTGGAAATTATATTTTTGTTATACGTAAATCGACACGCTATTTCTCGAAAACGATAGGCGTACGTAACAAAAAAAAACTCTTCGTTATAAACTAAAACTCGTGTTTTTTATTACATGATTTAATTTTCGTTCAATTTTTCATCTTTTCTGAAACGTTGTGTAGCTTCGCGAGATGTGTGTAGCAACGACGGACACGACAACTTACTGTAATAATAATAACGTCATACGCGTCGCCGTGTGTCACAACACATAATTACCGGTGACGATCGTGCAGCGGTTTTGTCGTATTTTGACAGCCAGGAAATGACGAGAGACGACCGAGACGTTTGGTAATTTCGTGGTCCGAAACACATACCACACATACATATTTAATATCTAGAAATATAATACGTGTGGTTAATCCTCGTGATCAGAAAAATCTGGCCCGACCCAAGAGTACGGATATAATTTTCATGAGTTGACTACGAAAATGAAGCACCGGAAACTTAAAGTTGATATGCAACACATGCTATTATATTTTATAACGTATCGTCATTACTCGTCATATGTGGGCGTGTGTCACAATAAACAACAAAAAATTTTATTTTTTTCAAAAACGTTTCATAAACCATTAAATTGTTTTCTTCTTCAAATGTTATGTATGTTATGTTTACAAATTTATAGTCAAAATTATACTTTTATCTTTATGGATTTTCTTAATTTTTTCTACAAAAATTATTTATCTTGTAAAACTACATTCTTCTCAGTACCGTTTAGTTTTGCCTATCCATCACATATGATATTTAACTTTTTCTATATTACTGTTCTCTTTCTGTTATTTCTAATATTATTTTCTTTATTGAATCATCTGACTTTCGATCTAACCACTTTTTTACATTTCAAATTATAATAATATATTAAATTGGCTAATAATTTCTGTACCACAATAGGATATACTATTAAGTATCTACCTTGTTCATGTATTTGGATTAGCTAAAAACGAAACAAAAAATAAATAATACACTAAAAGTAGTATTTTAATCATTAAAAAAAATAAATATATTAATGGCTAATAAAACAATTTTGATGCAATTGCGTTTTGTAAAAAGTCAGTCATTGCCTAGGTAGTAAAAATCAGACTATAAAAGATTTTTATTTTAGCATATATTATAAGTATTAAGAATAATGTAGTATTAGACTGAAGTTATTTAATATAGGTAATTATATTTTACAACTTAACAAAATATGTGGAATACATAGGATGTTCTGCGAGATACCTGAAAACACAGAGTTGAAAAGTGGGAGTAGCGACATTGCAGTGCCTATCATAAAATAAGGCCACTTGTCTGAGTGCGTTACAAAATATTAAATTAATTTCGTTGTGATTAAAATAAAAAGTTGAATTTTCACGCATTCCAATTGAAAACTATAGAAATACTGAGATTCGACTCCCCCTACTTATGTTACTTCTAATGAATTACCGATGAACTCGTTAAATTTCACTCGGTTAGATTAGGTTAAGCTACCAAACAATAGATGGTCAGCAGAATAGATACTGTTTTTTGAAATAGGGTATAGATAAATTTGTTTTGATATAGTATATGTCATACACGTATGCCACAGAGAAAATCGCCTTAAAATCAATCTCATAATATGAAATTGCGTATTGCACCTCAAATATGCCTGCAGCATAGCAGATAGATCCATACAATGCTATTTTTCTAGAGCGATATAAAAATATTATTATACTCAGTGCAGCTATATATGAAAATAATAATAATGAAAAAAATGTATACCTACACAATCACGTTTGAGTCCAGCACTATAAAATATGATATTCAAAATATACAATACATAGTACTTCGTAATTCGTATATTGAAATGCAATATTTTCAAAATATCGTAAAGAGCAACAATCAAATCGAAATTCATTCGCTTTACTACTCGAAATATCATATCTTTGAGAACTTCTAGATATTATTATACGTTCAGTACAAGACTAAAAATAGAATATATTATGTACCGACAAAATCATTGTACTACTCGTATTATAGTGCATGGATTTGTACACTACAATACGTAAGACGAATTTATTTAGTCGGAGGAATTTCAAAAAGGTACAACAATTTACAAAAGAACTAGCTCAGACTTTA